TTATAATTACAGAAAGAAAAACATATAGAAAAAGGCTTTTGCATGAAAATATATATTCTTTAAAAAAATTCCATCATGAAATGCAATTCTTAAACGATCAATTTTGCAATATTATAACTTTATATCCGACTGAGATCTTTTATTTAGTAAATATTAATGAACTCATATTGTTGTATCGAAGAGTGCTATCCTATGTATCGTTCATTGTATAAACATAGATGTACCAAAGAACGTGCAAGTACCTTATTACAAATATCGTCGTGAGACAATTTGTTAAAAGCAGTTGATCGACTATATTATATTTATGCAAAGAAATAAATGTGTATGTAAGATGAATGAGGGATCTCGTTCAATGAAAATAAAAAACAAAATATTCGATCGTATTTATATTGTCTTATAATCCATACAAACATTTTTTAGTTGTGAAGTTTAATTATAAATATTGAATAATTATGAATCATATATATATATGTTTTTAAAAGATAAAAATAAAAATAGGTTTTTGTATTTACATCGATCAAACACTATAAAAAGATCCACATTTTGTACAAAAATATACAAAAATAAGTAATCTAGATCTTTGTTAAATAAATAAACAAAACAAAGTAGAAAAATAATTATATGTATATAAGTACACGATTTAATAGGTTAGATGTGTACGAATAAAAACTTAATCCTATTAAAATTCGATTTTAAGAATAGTTAACATATTTCTTATTCACGTTTATAATCATATCATATGAGAAAAATATAATGACGCAAATTCAGTCTAAGTATTCTTCAATTAAGTTACAAAATTTATATATTATAAAATGTGTTAACACTATAATTATTACAGCTAAATATCTTTATTTAAAATTCTATCAGAAAGAGAAGGCACGTCAATATTATTTTATGAAATAAATCAAATATGAATTATTCCTTTAAAGATTAATATTTATTCTATTCGTATTAACATATTAACGACGAATAACATTCATTATGAATTTATCATAAAATGCACTCAAAAAATTATTTTTAATGATATAAATATCTATCTTTTAAGGAATAATTTATAAATTATTAATAATCCAACTAATATTATCCATAAAATACTTGGTTTCAACATTGTCGCTGGATTGCATCCATCGCCGGCACAAGTATAAATACAAGTTCGATAAGTTAACTTGTCACCTTGTTGATTCACGTAATCGCAATAATTTCCCAAATCCAGTGCTGAACAAAATCTTTTCGTGCCTATTCCACCTATTTAAACATATATAGAGAAAATAATTTTATTTTATTTAACATAAATGAAAAGTTTATTAATTACACACAAAAACAATAATAACATGCTTTTATACATATAAGATGAAAGATGTAGAGGGATAACGTATTTCTAAAAGCAGCATGCAATATATATTTTGGTTATTCATTTTTCATAAAATTATTAAATTCATTATATTTATATATAAAATATTCATTTATCTAAAACTTTTCTTTGATCAAAGTTTCAAATGAAATAAAATCTCTGTGTATCAGAAAGTCTACAAGTGAACACTCGATACCGAGAACACTCAAAATACAATATATGAACCTCCGAATCGTCCGATCGATTTGATGCAGTATTGTGCATCGTAAACATGATTGCAGTTCGCTGGTCGTAAGGTACTTAATACCAATTTACTATCTCCGCAGCTCAGTTCTTCTTCCGATGTACACTGATAGCAATCCAGAGTAGTCGCTTAATCGATTGAAAAAGTACTGAATATAGCGGTTATTGTTATATATACTGCATCAATTAAATGATTTGTTTAATTAGAGACTTATTATAGTGTACATTGCAATTTATTCAACACATTTTCCAATGCTTAACGATTTGTAATAATATATATATTTTAAATAAATAAATTTTAATGATAACCAAAAATTAATAGTTTATCATTATACAAATATTAAATATAAAATAGGCCATCCCTTTTTATATGCAGATATGACTTAAAATACGTTAGTCACCTAAAAACCAATTCGAATTGAAATGATTATCGATTGTGCTCTGACTGTTTTCACATGCTTCGATAAATCGATATGGCAATGTCATTATATGATTAAAGGTTAGTTTTCATTTGAAAGTGCTAAATTTCGCAATTGATTCCCTTTTCCAATATATGTAATCTGATCAGCCGATATTGTTTTACCCTCGAATCGGCCTATATGCTTCACACAATATTGTGCCTCGAAAACAGCATCACAAGGTTCTGGCTTGATATCGATGTCGCTCGAAAGAAATTCGTTGCATTGGAAGGGATGCGAGTTGTTTGTGCTGATGCATTGATAGCATTGTAAACTGTGGACTGAATGAAAAGAAAAAGAAGAAATTCTGTTTATTTTTTAATCCATGGTTTTGTCAAACTGAATCGAACAATGTGATTCAAATAATATTATAAATAATAGTTAATATTATAAATTAGTAATATTATAAATTATAATAAAAAATAATATATTTTAAATATTAGTCAAATATTTAATTCTTAATTGATTATTTATTAAGAAGAATAAACATAAGATATTTTTTTATGAATAAATATAAATAAATATAAAATTTAAAAAATTTTATTATTTATGATTATAAAAAATATATAATTTCCATAAAAAAAATAATTGACCTAGATAATTTATTATTATGCTGTGTGAAATTTTAAACAAATAATTTCTTATGTCATTTCTTTATACGTATGTATTTTATATATATATATATGTGCATCTATGAATGATAATTTGTTTTTATTTTAAAGATTAATTATAGGAATAATTTTTCATGCAATATTAAATTTTTAACAACGAAATAATCTACTAACTTCAAGCTGTTATTTAAATATAAGTGTTCATTTATATCGATTCTTTCGCTCAATGTTTATAAATTAATAAAAGATTCTACATAATTTAATGATTCTAATAATTTTATCACAGTTCTTAATAAAGAAAACAATGTAAAAATTTATAAATGCCCCACCCAAAGGACGCCACGATATTCACATCTATAGTTACATGCATTAACCTTACCACTTTTGATGAAAAATAGAAATGCCGCGAAAATTGCGTAGCTCCTAATCTTGCTGATAGCGTTCATATTGTAAAATATTTTTGTTACGGATTACACACAAAACACTTTTATGAAATATTAATCGATGGTTTTATATTTCTTTCTGGCACTTCTTGCTAAAACAATCACAACTATGCACGACTGTAACTTCCGTTCGAATTTATATCCATCCAAATGAATATAACGACGACGCGAAAGCGACTGACTAGACAGAGAGAAGGGGACCGCACATATATCATGTGACGCAGTCGAGTTGTTCCGATTCGAATCGAAAATAATCGAAGTGATTTAACATAATTTAATAATAATTTTTATAATTTGTTTATTTGTATTTTTTACTTTTTTAAATATTTAGATAATATATGATATTTAAAAAATATTAAAATTTATTATTGGAGATAACTTAATGTTGTATGCTTCTTTATTCTTATTTTTTTTACAATAAATAATATAACTTTATATATTTTGAAATTTATATACATATATATGATACATAATATATGTATTCACAATAAGAATATTACATAGTATTGCAATTTGAAATGAATTTTAATATAATCTAATTTAAATGTATAAATATTATATTTTACTTAAATGATTTTATATCGATTTAATTATTTATTTAATTTTGAATTTTCTATTTTAAGAAAGAAATAAAAAAAACAAAAAATTCCTATTTTTTTTAACAATATGATAAATGTTTACATGTATATATTAATTAAATAGTTTATACTTAATATACATAATTTTCTTATATTTAAAGTATTCATCTAAAAGAATTATAAAGTCACAATTGATTATTAAACGATTATTTTTCTATATAACGACTTGTTTTATAATCTAATTTAGAATTTTAGTTGCACTCTCATTATTTAATTTTTCAATCACTACAATATTTCTATTGATTTTTTCACTTTGGAAGACTTCAATTTATTTTGCTCCATTTTAGAACAATATTTTTTTGTTGTTTTTGAAGTTTTTTTTACATTTTGTTTATTAGACATAAGTAATGACGGTGATTTCATAGTTTCCGAGACAATATTAGATGGTTCTCCAATTTCCGGTTTTCCTTTATTTACTTTTATAGAAACAATTTTTAATCTTTTTGCTCCATGCTTAACAATAGTTGTTTCTTCAGAAGACAAAGCCATTTTTGAATATTTGTTTATTGTTGTTAATTTTTTATTCTCATGTTGAATATCTCTTATTTCCGAGGAATCGTTGATACATCCAAAACAAGAAGTTTTCAAACGATTTTCTGAATTTTTTAAAAATGATTTCATAACATTTTTTGGTCCAATTACAGGGATTTTCGAAGTACTTTCGATATTATTGACGCACTGATTTTTTAGCGGTATACGAGTTACAGTTTGTCGAGTTTTTCTATTATTTTTTATTTTTTTACTGCAGTATAAAGAGATGTGGTGCGACGAATAATACATGATTTTTTTATGAAATTCGTTTCACTTTTCATTGAGTTCTTTAACCCAACAGAAGAGTTAATTATCTGAGATTCAATTTCTTTCAAATTATAAGAATCTGAAGGCATAACATTATTATTATCCTGTGAATAAAAGTATAAATAAGAAAATAAATGTAATACAATGAATATTATATAATATATAATTTGTGAGAGAGAGAGATTGATTTTTTTCTTACTTTTCTTACAATTTTTCATCCTTGTATTTGTGATTAAATTAAAGAAGAAAAGGTAGATAAACAATATTTCTTGTTCAATAATGAATTCAATGATATTTAATTTATTCATTCAATAGTTTCATTTAATTTATAGTTGCAAACCTAATTTATATAGTAGTTTTTGAATGAAATATTTAATATATTAAGAACATATAGATTATATAACAATTAATATAATAAGAGGACTAAGGATTATCAGGAGAAAAATAAAAATAAGGTAAATAAATTATCACTAAAAATATTATAAATTTATTAAAACAATAGGACATGTATGTATTCATATATGTGTATATAAAAGTATATGTAGAATAGAATACATTATAGAACTTGTATACATACATAAATTTATACATACTTTCTTTGATCAGTAATAGCACTTACATTCAAATAATAGAAAGCATGACAATAAATATTATAAAAATTATTTCAATATTTTTAAATGAAGTAATTTTATGATATTTACGATATTATATTAATATTAATTTTATATGATAATAAACATATACTCTTTTTTTTAATAAATACATGTACTTTGTATTTTTTTTTTAAAAAAGAAGTACATAATACATAAAATAGCCACTTTTATTATTTTAAATCATACGACCTATAAAAACTACTCAAATAAAAGATTTGAAAAATACATAAAATATTATTCATTTGATGAATTTTAAAATAAACAAACTTTCATTTCAATGCTAAATTCTAATTTAAAATTCTGCATTTTTTTAAAAGATTTTATCAGCTAGAAATATATGTTTGAATTATTTAAAACAGAAAAAAACATTATTTATGTTTTGCTTTTTTTTTGCTAAAGAAATAGATATCATTAATTACTGTGTGTATTTCTTATTACTACTCGCATCCATGATAAAATTCTTAAGTGCATATAATATTATTGTAAATGCACTTATCTACTGTCACCACAAACATAGTGCATCAAAAATGGTCTAAAGAAAATAAAAAAAGAATGTATTTTTTTGTAAAAAAGTCAATCAACATTGATTTTATTCTATATTATTTGTTTGTAATATAAAACAATAAACAATTATACAATTTTATAAAATTTATATATATATATACACTAAACATTATATTATAAAAACATCATTAAGCAATAAAAAACGATGTATATACAAAATATAACATATTTGTTAATATATTAAACGCAATAATTAAATTGCAAAAAATTGCACTTTGTACACACATTAGTAATTATGATTAAAATATGTAATAAATCTATAAAAACGAATAGACGAACATTTTTTTTTTTAACTTTTATATAAAAGTATAGCAAATATTATTGTCATGCATACATATATTAGATTGGAAGACCCATTAGTTCAATATAATAAAAATTTACATAATACAAGATTTGTATTAGTCGCATATTTAAAATGTATTAAGTACCTAATATGTTATTATTATAACAATTTGCTATATATATCATAATATTATATCATAATTTTATTATAAAATAAGAATAGATTTTTCTTCTAGAATAAAAAATTTATGTTATACTATTGAATTAAAATAATATACAATTTATATGTATACAAAATCTCTCTCCCACATCTTTAACTAGTAACAGAATGCAATTTATTTAGGCACTAATGTGTCTTGATATTAATATGAAAAAGCATCAAATAAATAATTATTGTGAATTAAGACAGTACACACTGTCTTATATTAACAGCTGAAAATTCATTCTCGTTATTTACATCAAAATTTACCTTCTGTAGAGATTTGCTATTCGGTGATGAAAGATTGTTCACATATGCTAATTTTAAATAAGATTTTACACCTCTTAAAGAGCGATATTGGCTATTTGGCAATCGACTATTAGGATTATTATTTGTTAGGTCAAGAATTGAAGGACCTAATGCTGCTCCAACCTATAAACATAATTAAAACATGTAATAATTATATGATATATTTAAGAAAAATTTCTGAATAAAAAATAAAAAAAATATTTTACCGCTTCGAAAACTGTTGGTGTATACTTTGGTGGAACAAATATATGAGTCATAGCTCTATTTACACCATCACGAACTCTTGCAGGTATTGTATTTACTAAACGTCCAGAATTGTAGTTACATTCAAGCGTATAACTACGTATAAGTCCAGTAAGTTTATATACAGCTACTCGACCTGATCCTTCCCTTGACATACCATCTCTTTTATCTCTACAAAAATAAAAATTTTATACGAAATATAAGAATATATTGTTCATTTTATTTTGATAATAATAATAATAATGATAATAAATAAAACGTACATAATATACATATTTTTTTCTGTAAAATTGCATGAAGTAAAATGGAAATTTGGATTGTTAATGGACATTAATTTTGGCAAAAGCATACATGTTATTGTATCTTCTGCATTATCAAAGTAATTGCCATACATAAAAACACCTTTTTTTGAAGCATGACCATGAAGATCAATGTATAGATATAATCCAGAATCTTCTTTAGGTAATTGTCCTATGCCAACAGCTGTATATGTTTTTTTATCAGATTTAAATTCTACAGAATTATTACTTTCTTCTGTTTTATTACATAAGCCTTCTCCACCACCTTCACATAATGTGCATAAATAAATAAAAGAATTTTGTTGATCGCATATTTAATAATTCAATTTAAATATCGTACCCTGAGATATGTTATTCAAATTTTTTGGTAATGTACATTCCTGAAAAATTTTCGGTTCATCTTTATGTTTTTCATCTAAAGTCATAAGTGTTACCTATTAAATAGTAAATTAATATTTATTTCATTTATATATATTTGGATATATTTATATTTAAAAAAATATTAATATTTCAAATAAATTATTAAAAAATAATATTTTTTTATTACCTGCTGAAGTAATCTTGTTGTTGTATCACGTACTATATTTGCAATTGTGGAAGAAGAATCAATGATGGTTAAAGTATTTTCACCATTTCCTAAATATATACTTGATATCTCATCTTCTTTTGGCAGTTGATATGTATGATGATAATATCTTAATAAAAATTATTCTTATTAATTTCATCTTTATTATAACATTGGAATATTAAAATCATTTTACTTATTTACTTTATCAAATTTCTTGCAGCATATATTGTTGGATGATCCTTTAAAGAAGGATTGAGATAGACTCTATTAAGATTTATTCCTCTAGTATCCATTCGATAATGACCTCTGGCTACACCATCAGGATTGAGCATTGGTATTAATTTGAACACATAAAGGCGGCGAAGATTAATTGCAATGTGATCCTCGCGATTTATAAGAAAATTAAGAAAACCATTAAAAACAAAGCTAGATGGTGTTTCTCCTGGATGAACTCTTGCGCTAATGAAAATTACCTAAGAATTTTAATGAAAATTCATATATATGAAATATATATATCATGTATATATATATATAATTTTATATAATTCATAATTTTATAATTTATGTACTTTTTTATCATAAAATTTAAAAGGTCTTTCTTCATTTTTTTCAGGAAACATATTATTCAGTCTATCTTCTCTCTCTGTTGATATGTTATGAAATGAACTTATTGTTATTAGATCCATTCTTCGTCCTTCCAAAGATTTTATTGCACATTCTCTATGATAATAAATATCATCAGCAGATGTTAAATTCCTTTTTGATATTTTTACTTCAATTCTTCTTAAATAATTTTGTAGATCAGTATAAGAGAAAGGATAAGTAAATGCAAAATATGTTATGGCTTTTGAATTTTCAGGAGCATTATAAAGAAACGATAATGTAAAATCATTTCCTTTTTGATCCAACTGAAATGTTGTAAATTTATATAGATTTTTAGAAACATAAAGTATTATTATATTTAAAATAAAATTTACAGTGTAAGTAGGTTTATCTTGAATCCGTTCCCAATGTAGATGACCAGGCACAATTTTAAAAACTGGACACATTCCTTGACTGAACATTTTAACTTGTTTATTTAGATTAATTATATTGAATTTGATATAAACATTTGGAGTGTTTGTTTTAACACCAAAATAAAACCATGTTCTATTATTATTTTGAAATTGTGTTCCATGACAATCATGTTTTGTCCATAAGTTAAATTCATAATCTATTGTATCTTCTGAATTCAAGCTTCTGCATGATTTATTTTCTGTTTCACATCCATCTAAAAACAATTAAATATGAAATTATCAATCATATATTAATGCATATAATAAAAAAAAATATGTAAGTCATAATATATAAAAATAGGAAATTACCCTTTTCAAAAGTTTCTGGTAATTTTACTAGTTCAACTTTTGCTAAATTAGCCGAATCAAAATTATTATAAAATGAAAAACCCCCACATATGATAGAATCGCCCGGATTTGCCATAATGTGTCAAAAGGTTATACGATTGTCTGTAAAATACTTGTATGAAATGTTTTATGCATCTATAAAGAACATTATACTTTCAATGATGTAAAAATTTGTAATTATATTCTCACTTTTTCTGATATTAAAAGTAATTTTTTTCATTCGTAGTGTTACTTTCATATTAAAAAGGTCATGTTTGACAGTTATCTTGAAATCGTTATGATTTCTAGTTAATCCACGCTTTATATATTATAAATTAATTACTACCCTTTAGAATCAAAATTAATTCTTTTTATATTTATTTTTGTTTATACGATATGCAATATGTTACATTCACCCAATATTTCCACCAATACCATTGTTGTACCTAATGCAAACATGTTTACGACTTCATAGTTTCCCATGTATTAGATTGACTATTAATTATGACAGAATAATGAATGTCATGAATTTTCAATTGTTTTAAACTTTTCCTGACATATTTAATACAATGTTAATAAAATTTATATTCGTATTTGTTAAATCACATGCAAAATTAATATAAGAATTCATATATCTTTTTAAAATATTATTTTAATATGGAAAATTCAAATTTATTATTTCATTATATGTTACATAATTTTATTTGTTTTATTTTTATTTTTTTTATTATATATACCTGAGAGTCAAAAGAAAATTGTCAAAAATGTTTAGAATAATAAAGAATAAATATCACAAAAAATTTATTCAACGATTTAATTCTAAAAGAACTAATTATATTTTAATATAATAAAATAATATTTAACACAAAATTATTCATCAAATCAATCATCGAATATATAGGCGAGTTTTCTATTAACAATTATTACAGCATAATATTTGGCACAATATTCCAATTATTACGTATGCAACTCAGACTCATTAAATTATAAGGCGCGAATAGAAATATCCAATCAAATGTGATTATTGAAAATTTTAGTAAGTAAGTAATTGTGAACAACATTTTACATAAAATTTTACATAAAATTCATTTTTGTATTTAATTGGTTTTTACATACCATTATATATATTAAGATCGATATATATATATATTTAATAATAAAAATAAAAGCTTTAAAAATTTTAAAAGCGTGATATCTAAATTATCGATAGGTAAAATTATTGACAGGTAGCGCACTCTACCTTGTGCTTTTACAGTGTGAATAAGAACTAAGTCAACAAGATTCCAAACATTTCACTTTTTCACCATTTCTATGAATATTAATGTGTTTCATCTTTCAAATTTATTTATCATTTTTTGCAATTGAATAAGGAAAATCAAGCAAAGAAAGCGATCCTAATAATTCATTTATTATGGATTGTGAGTGACATTTACGGTGTGTGTTTTGTGATATTGTTACAAATAGTTTTACCAATATATCTCATTATTACGATCTCCAATGTTTTTGCATTATTTGTATTTACACAGTGTTTATCTATGTGTTAACTAAAAAATCCATAAATAAATTTTCTGTTGCATTGTCAATTTGTTAAAATTCTTCATATGATACGATACGTCAACGTGCAAATGATGTGCCCACTGTCAATGGTTCGGCGTGACAGAATTACACACACATATGAATCAACTATCTATAGGTGCAATTGTATCCACACCCATATGAAATCTCATATCATAAGAGGCAGCAGCACGCTGTAGTGTAGCTCAGATTGTGCTTCACAGTAGTTCAGAACATTACGGAGGTAGCTAGTGACATTCTGATTGCTTTCTACTTGTGTCCAATCTTATTAACTTACGTGGCGGGTACCCAACAATACATACAACATGTGCGGTGAGTAAATAATGATTACTTGATATCAACTTGAGCTTCTCGTTCTATCATATTTTTTGTTAGAATCGACGATATCGATGGATTGTTTGATTGAAAAATTTTTATGACGAAAATATACATTCATATAAACCAAATAAAAAGTGTTGACAGATTATTTAGGTACAATATAATATTTTGTTCTATATAAATGTGCCACCGGTATGATTCTTCCGCCACGTTAGTCAAGTCAACATCTGGCATCTCCAATACTTAATTTGCTGATCTAAACATTGTTCACAAATAGAGAATGGATATTTAAAAGTCTGATTATTATGTAAAATTGGATTTATTAATGTGTTAATATCAATCACATAATGAATCTGAGCATTTATAGGGATTTCGCATGTTTTAGATTTTTCATTTCATAAAAGGAAGAGATGAATGTAGAATAATTTTACTTTTTTAATTTTAATTTTTTACAAAAAGATTTTATCAAAATAAAAAATTTTTCAAATGTTATTTCTTTAAAGTTAATTTTGAAATTAATTATTATTATGAAATTAATAACAATTGATATAAATTAATAATTATTTATTATATTAAATATATATTAAATCTATTACATAAATTGTAAAAATTATTTTAATGAAAATTTTTTACATAATTTATCACAATATTTGCATAATGTATTAATTTACTTAAGTCTATTATTAAGATCAATGGAATTTGCATTAATGTTATTTACAAAGTCGGTATGAAATTTTGCTTTCGATAAGAGGAAATTGGAGATTCGAGAGAACGTAATTGAACAGAAATAAAATAGATAATTATATTAGAATATCTTAGAATCTAATAATGATTAAGAATAATTATTATTATAGTCAATAAAGTAATAGTTTAAAAAAATTTGGAATAACAATAAATAAAATATTATACAGTAAACGGACATATAAACGTCCTATATCAATGAACAAATATATGAATTTTAATAGTTTCCGATAAGCATTTTGAAAATCTACGTTGCATTGGTATTCACTTCGATGAAGGAAATTAACGGTTCATATTTTTTCTTTGTGATAATCCTCTCTTTCTCTCTTGGAAATTACAATATTTATTTATTTTCTTTTGGTAAATTTATCTTAAAAAAAAACATTATTTATAAAAGCAAATGATTTACAGATTACAGAAAACGAAAATATAATATTAATTATAATATTAAGATATTAATATTAAATATCAATAAACATTATTCTTTTATCATTCAAATCGTAGCGAAAGTCAATTTCTCTATTTGTTACAAAGAAAAGGAATTCGTTGTGTACGTAAGACTTTTTTTTAAAAATCATTAAACAATATTCAGTCATAAATTAATTAAAACGAAATATTAATTAAACAAAGACAAACAATTTTTTTAATCCTTACCGATTGAGCAAAATAATTATTATATTTGGAATGAATATTATTTTTAAGATCAATATTTATAACTAAATTAATAATATTAATAATATTAATAATAGTTTTCAATCATAATATCTCTGATATATAATCTCGATTTTTTTTTTAATATTCTTAATTTTTTATATTATTATTTAAATCGCAGGATTTCTCATATAAAATAATGCAACCACAATCAATGAAAATTTATGTTCTTTTGTATTTATAGATTATTGTTTTATAGTTAGAACTATTTTATTACGAAGGTTTAATTTAATTAACAAGCCCGCTCGAATATCTTGAATAGAAACTTTCTTTTAATTCTATCTATAGCTAAGTGAATAAAATCTTGTTTAGCTTTAATTAAGTTTTATACTGTTAATTGATATTGTATTTGGTAAATTCGAATGTATTTTCCAGATATACTCTTCCATTTTCATTTTTCCCTCGAATAATCGAATCGTAATTGTGGCCAACGACCCAGATATTTACGTTTTGATGCTTAATATTTAATGAATGCCAGGAATTTTGCTTGTCAAAGTTTTGATGAAATTATCAAAGAATGATTAAAAAAAACATTTTTCAGATAATAGTCGTATAATTGCCATATTAAATATTTTTGAAAGGAGAAAGGAGAAAAATATTTTCGATTAAATATTCCGACGAATAGTAAAAGATGAGTTAACTTTTTTGAATCGTTATATTGAGATTATGTCGAAATAAAGACTAAGAAACTAGAGAGTTGCTGCAAAAAGAGAAAGATTCTTCTCAATTATGGAATTACGAAATCGGTTGATTACATCGACATTTTGTTGGTACATATAAATTTAATTATTGATATAGAATGTAGAAAATTTTACGATTAATCCTAATTAATTTATGAATTTATAGAATTTAATAATTCTTTTTTTTTTTTTTATAGAATTGTTATATCTGCAAAAAATTATTAGAACTTAATTTCTAAATTATAAAATTCCATACAGATTTCTAGCGTCATAAATTTTATGAAAACTAACTTTTGATTCATTTATCTAAAACTTTCACGAAATTTTATATAAACTAGAAAATATAATAAAAAAATGAAATAAATAAGTATTCATTTCATTTTATTATCTATGCAGTTGGTTAGAAAATGCGCGTTTCAAAACTGCATTCCATCAAATTACGGAAGCATGTAGACTCGGCATTACATTCTCGCAGGTAACAGGACTATAATAGGGTGTTGCAACGAGACAACGTGATTCAATGAAACATTTGTGTCCACAATCAAGCTTCTCAAAGTTCATCGAAAGTTTATCGGAACAAAATAGCAGTCCATGTTTCCATGCGTGTTATATATCCTTTCATGATTTTGTCAACACTCATAGTATCTTACAATAGAATCGAATTGAACTTTAGTATCGATATGCCTGCCTCGAACTACGAGTGAAAGTTACCTGGTGGCGAATCTGACGCCGACGAGAGAGGGTGCAGCGTTTTACAGGATAGTTACATGTGACATTTAGACGATGGCCTCGTGTTGTATGCTATATGATACGCGTACACGTATACATTACACTAAAAAAAATTAGCATTTAAATGCATATCAAATGAAGATAAATTTTATCAAGATTAATTTTGTTGTAATCATTGAAACAGTAATAAAAATTTTATTTTAATAAAAACACTATTTCATCTATATTTATCAGATATCTCAAAAACAATCAACAATTAATTATAATCTTAAATTATAATTTAAAATTTAGAAATGCAAACAATATAAATGATTTATAATAATATGATAATGATTAGTAGTAATAATTTACTAATGTATTAAAATATAATGATATTTTTTATAAAAATAAACGATCATTATCATTTTTGATTATTTATATATAAAATAGCGAAAATATAAATGAGACGAATAATAATATACTTTGACTAAAAATTAGAATTTTAAAATCTTATATGATATATATAGAAGCCAAATTGATTATTTTTATCAAGATATTATTGTATTTTTATATACAACTTCTCAACAATTCTCTTTTCTTTGATCTTTTACGATTTGAAGGAAAAGATTTCTCTATTAATTATATCTACATTTGTTCTACTGCTTTGTAATAAGATTTGAATAATTATTATAATTATTTTATTAGTTGTTTTAATCTGAATTACTTTTGATATAATTTGGATATGTATTCAAGATAACGTAATAAACCTGGTTAATCCAATCCAATTCAAGGCCGTGGTCTTATTATAAAACGATCATCAGGAACTGGTACATTTTCAACTCTTGATTACCTTGGCTCTACTTAAATGTTACTTGAACTTCAAACATTTATTTTGTCGATTTAAATATTATTACAAATCGACAGAAAATAATTTCTTTCAACAATCCATATAATATATTGATGCATTTGATTCGTCGATAATCTTTAAAACAATAAAATCGAAAATTATGTACGTATCTTTTTAAATTGAACGATTCATAATTTTTTAAAAATATTGTATACTTGCAAACAGCCATGTTTCTGTATATCTTCGAGTACATAGGACACCAGTTTACCTTTACCTTTCTCACGAAATTCAAACTCATAGCCTCGCTACAAGGGAGAACCTGATTTTTGTTTACGTCCATGGAATCCTAAGTAGAGAATTTGTTCGGCCCACGACGAAAATAACTCGTTCAACCGCGTAGGAATTTGTTCATGATTCATCTTTTTACTTTGGTTTTCCTTTCACCAATTTGTCACTTGTTTTTTTTCGATTTGATTTGGTAAATATATACATTCCAAACGAATTGACATTTCAAATCTTTCATTTCTTTAAGTGATTTTAACTTTTAGTTCAAAAACAAATTTCTTTTTATTCATTTATAAATTTTTATTCCATTAAGTTAGTACTTTCTATTTTGTTAAGCATTATTTTTCTATAAGCATCAAAATAACATAAAACTTTAATTCATTGAAACCATAATTAAACAAAATTAGTTATAAGATTTATTATCGATTAAAAAGTGCTGTAAATAAATTTTTTCTAATCGAAATAAGAAACAATAAACGATAAAATCCATATCTATCTAGAATATTTGTTAATTTTCGTTATATTTATGAATATTTAATAGCGTGTTTTAAGATTTGGAAATATATATATATATATCTATTAAAGCCAAATTTATCCACATTTTTTCTCAAATTAAAAATTTGATGTACTATTTACTTTTTACGATATCTTCCATTACAAAATTTAAAGTAAGATGAATAGAAAATGAAACAAACTACGTTCCAATTGTGGTCGCAACGAAAGAAGGAAAGAGTTAGGAAAGAGTTATATAAATTACATATATCACATATCAGAAGAATCATATACGATTCAAGGTCTAAAGGAAGGAAATCAATTATATGAGATACATTTCTGTATATATGTACCGTTAGCATTTCTCGTCGATTTCTTGAATTAATCGAATCATTTTATGTCAATAAGTTACAATTATATTGTAATTATTCGTTCTATATTCCAATTATTCGATTTCATGAACATTAGATGTATTATAATAAATTTTCAGATTTATTCAAATTGAATCGTCATTTGATAAACAATTAAATTATTTTAAAGAAGGAAATCAATTGAATTTGATTGATAATTGGAAAGTAATATTGATTCCTGACTTTATTAAGATAAATGATTTTAAGTTATTAATGTAATTCAAAATATATTCAAAATCATTATCTATTTTTTTTAATATTTTCTTTTTCTTTTAATAAATTAAAATATAAATTATCATTTAATAAAGAAATGTTATTTAATAATGAAAAATATTTAATAAATCTTTTTTTTAAACTTTTCTTACTTTATTAAAGTTATAAATTATTAATGTTTCTTTATTCCGAAATGTAAATGATTTACCAAATTTGATCAAATTTCCAACTATAAAATAATATTTAGAGAAAGAACGATAAAACTATTGATATGCATAAATTCTGCATAAATCTGGGAATATCTTAAAAAAGGAATATCTAAAAAATGTAATTATTAGAAGACTATATATATAACAATTTTATAATATTTATATAAAATTTAAATAATTGAAAAACTAGCTACAATTGAATAATATACTAACTGTATAAATTATAATAAATTGACTTATTTCTAAGTTTACTTTTCCAATTAGTGCAACATATCGAAAACATATCAATATCTGTAAGGAAAAAAATCATGTCAATACCTATATAATAGGAAGTAAGTACTCGAATAAACTCGATTATTATCAATTTCTTATCTATGAAGTATATAATTTAAAAACTAGAATTCTAAAAACGATTATTCAATAATTCACTTATCTTGTATTATATTATACCTGTATTAAAAAATAATAATAAAATAAAAAAATATAATCATATCATAAAATGATTCAATATCAATTATGATGATTTAATAAATTTTAAATGCACAAATTAAATAACAATTTAAGTTATATATTATTAAAATTACATTATTATTAGCACATTATTGAGATTTTTAATTACCTCAGAATAATTAATAATCTTCGCAAAATTGTTGAAAATATAATACAACTTTCTTTTCAACATCTAATTATATATAGTATATAGTTAAAAAGATAGATATTTAGAAACATAGAAATTTGAAAAATCTCATTGTATAATTGCATTCCAGAAATTCCTGAAAAAAAAAAAACGTTATTGTCGTATATGGATTAACTAATTAAGATTTTATATCTTTCATGGATTTACTAATGTTTTGAATTAAAAATATTAAAAAATCGGGATAAAAGCTTGATCAAGCTTGATCAATAGGGAATTACTTCTCTAGATAAATGGAATCAAACTTATCTTTTAGATTTAAAATCTAAAAGAAAATTTTTATTTTTCCTTTTTTTCCTTTTTGCAGATCATTTTTAGGATGTTTCTCTATCAGAAACTTATCGACGATTACAGTAAAGCGCAATCTAATCGTGACGTGATCGTTCGATCGTCTATTGTCGGGTCGGCACGAAATCAAATTACATTTACGCGCCGATGCACTGCTCGCGATTGTTTCGCTTTTCGTAAGTTTCTCCCCGGTGACAGTTCCTCGATCGGTGATCTTTTTTCTTCGTACTTATTCATCGTATCTTCTTTAGTGGCGATGGGTGGTAGGTTCAGCGATTCAATTATCTTATATCTCATTACAATGTATATTACTCGAGTGCACTAAAGATACAGTTATTTATTCTTATTTATCGTTATCAAGAGATGTTTGATACTTAAAACAAAGGAAAGAAAAGAAATTAAGGAAAAAAAATTATGAATTATTAGCACTCGATTACAATTGATAGAATTGGAAATTTTATTTTCGAAGATAAAGCAAATCAATTGTTAAGTTAAGCTACTATAATAACGAGATGTATATAGAATTTTTATTAATTCGTAAATTTCATTACGATACACGATTTCTTATGAATTTCACTATAATCTGTTTCGCGATTATCACTGGAAACATAAAAATAATACGTATTATTTTATATCAATTCATATAAAAGAAAGTTATAAAATAATCTATGTTACACTTGATTGTTGAAGTGCATTCAATTTTTTCTTAAAATATTCTCGAAAATATTCTTAATACGTTTGGTGATTAAATTTATATATATATAAAATCTACTTAAATTCAAATATTTAAAACTTAAAATAAATACTTCATTTATAAAAGTTTTAAGCAGTCAAAATTTAAATGAGTTGATTGAATTAGTTACCTTTTTCAACTTCTTTCTCTTTCTTTTCTTTCTTTTTTTTATTCTTCTATAAATATATATTATAATATTTTATAACTTATTTTTATTGTAAAGAGATTTAATTTGTAAATTAAAAGATTAATTCGCATCCTAAATTCAATTTTATATCGTATGACAATTAGAATTCAAGATATATGTTGAAAACGTATTAAGCTTAAATGCTGTGGCGAAATCGTGATAGATATTCTATTTTAGTTCTTTTTTTAGTTTTAACGTATTATGCTATGATTTTTTAGATAAATTTTTTCTAAAACAAATTCATAAAAACAAATAATATAAAATCTAATAATAATAATAATATAAAATATAAAAACAAATTATTACTTTAAATTGTCTAATTAATCTAATATAATTCTAATATAATTAAGAAAATATTTTAATGCAAATAATTTTATTTCTTATTTCGAATACTATTCGTGCAAGACTGTTTTCATTCACTATGATTCTATCGAAACTGAGTTATGAAAATCGATTATCGCATAGATCGCACAGTTTGCTTTTCTAATCGAAGCAACGCCATCTTTTCAAACTCGATACTCTAAATTCGCGCTTTAAGACTTGCGCATGCGTGATTAATTATCGATAGTAATCGAATCATCGTCCGATAAAATCATGTGTAACTTTTTAACGTAACTTTATACAACGTATTGTGTATTATCGATGAAAAATCGATTTAATACATAAGTGCATATTTCTGTGATGTTTTTTATTCTCAGATTTTCGTTTTTTAGAAAAAAGCATAGGATGAGTAGACAAGAGGTGCGTTATTGCAGAACGCATGAGACATTCTAACAAGCATTTCGTTCGATCTCACGTATATGTGAGCTTTCCCTTTCACTTATGTGCATGTATGGCGAATTATACCTGTTTTCATGCACACATCTCTTTTCTCTGTGTTGGTTTGTTCACGGGCGACGACTTTTTGCATTTTTGTAATGGCATATAGAGGATTTCAAACACGAACTCTCGTATCGATGCGAATACACTATAATACTTATTCAAAGCAGGATGATTGGAATTTTGAGTCGATTCGAAAGTTTCGTAGTTTAACTCAATAAAATATTGAAAAAAATAGGAAAAAATGTGAAATTTCTTTTATTTGAATCAAGCAGAAAATCTATTGCAATGATTGAATAGTGTTAAAGCTACCCTGAGTAGTAGAAGAATTGATTATTTTTCATGTGCTTTATCTCTATTAACTAGTATTCTACATAAGTTTTATATTTTGCTTATATTTTGTAATGATATGTTAGATATAACGTATAATATGTTTGATAGATATATTTTTCTGAATTATTCATATTTTTTGCATTGCTTTCAAATATGTTATAATAAGTGAATGTTACATTTTTAAAAAGGAACTGTTTATAAAATTATTATTTATATTGAAGACAATACATTTGTTGCTTAATTATAATTAAAATAGTTAAATAAAAATTAAAGTATAGTTAAACAAATTTCAGAAATCTTGTATCTAGGTGATTTAAAAGAAGTTCATTGGATATAATTTGGAAAAAATTATATCCAATGAATAAAAAAATCATTAATTTCAATTGATGATCATGAATATTCAATATCTCTAATAAAAAAAAAAAATAAAAACGAAAATACTGAAATCTTAAAAAAAATTGATTATTTAAAGTATACAAAAAGATTTTCTAATATGATACAAATTTATCGGATGAAATGAATTATAAAGATATTATATCTTTTTTTTTCTAGGAATATTCGCGTATATCAATTATTTGACACCAAAGAGCAGAAAGGAAATTCTCGAGTTCCTGGTTGGTGGTTTAAAGAGATTGGAATATCGAGGCTATGATTCAGCAGGTATGAATCAATTATTGATATTATATCGATATTTTCAAATAATACGGAGGAAAAATTGAAGAAATCCGATTTTAAATTCGAATATTCTGTTTCTGAGAATAGAAAACTAAGAAATATTCGATAAAACTGTTCGATACTGTTCTATGCAAATTTTATATTCTTCCAGGTGTTGCACTTGACAGCGCCGATGGCAAGGATACCTCGATTATTAAAAAGCAAGGAAAGGTCAAGGCTCTCGAAGAAGAGATCTTTTGTAGTGAGTACACGTTATTATTTCTTACTTTATTTATATTGTTTATAATTCGATAATATATTTTATTATAATGAATAATGAAAATCTAAAAAATAAATTAAAATAAATTGAGAAATCTTATTTTTCTTGAAGAAAATTAAAAAAATACAAAAAATTAAAGTATTGTGCCTTCAAATCAAGAGAATATATTTCGAGAACAAGTAATCGTGCAAGTATTCGCATGATTAAAGTGTGTAAGATACAATTATGAGAGATAGTAAAATTCTAAGCAAATTGATGAAGACAATTTATAAAATTTCTTCGCAAAACCTTCGCTCTATTAATGAGCGGTTAAAAAAGATTATCTAATATAGAAGTTTCTGCATTTATAGTAATTCAGTTCATCAAGATATTATAAGTATTATAAAAATTATATTCAATAAAATAAAATTCTTCGTGAAAATTGTTGTTCACAATCGGTGAATTCAAATTATTTTATAATATTTTTGAATTCAGTTTCTTTATTCATCCTATGAGAGATCATATTTGAGGAAATAAGGAAAGATAAAATTGATTAAAATTCATTATTTTTTTACAGATTCTAATATTGATTTCGACTCAAAGATTCATAGTCACGTTGGTATTGCACATACTCGTTGGGCGACTCATGGTGTCCCATCGGAAGTGAATTCGCATCCTCAAAGATCAGACAGTGATCATGCTTTTGTGGTTGTACACAATGGTAAGAATATTATTTGATCTTTGGTAATTATTAGAAATTATTGTCTCCACTGTTTTGCTAAAGTCACGTTTTCTATAAAGGTATCGTGACAAACTATAAGGAAGTGAAGACATTACTCCAGCAAAGGGGTTACAGTTTCGAGAGTGAAACCGACACGGAAGTAATCGCCAAACTCATTCACCATCTCTGGGTGCAGCATCCTGGTTACTCGTTTCGCGAACTAGTCGAGCAAGTTGTTCAACAATTAGTAAGTATTGTTGCTGTAACACGCAGATTATTAATTATTATTGTTTGAACAATTGAAAATTTTATCGCAGACTATGAATTACAATTGTTTGAACTAAATTTTATGGCTTTGTATTAGGAGTAATTATTTGAACAATTGCAAATTTTATCGCTTAATACAGAATATTATAATATTGATTTTAATAATAATTATATCAGAAAGAATTTTATAAATAAGTTAGGAAAAGAATTTAATTAAAAAAATTTATATTATTCGATTATTAAAAACAATTGAAATTTTAGGAAGGTGCATTTGCTCTATGCTTCAAGAGCAAATATTTTCCAGGCGAATGTGTGGCAACGAGAAGAGGATCACCACTTCTCGTGGGTATTAAAACAAAAACAAGATTGGCCACCGATCATGTACCCATCCTATATGGAAAAGGTAAGTTGACGGATGTATTCAAATCCACCCGCATTTTAATTGAAATATTAGCGTATTTGAAAAAGGTATAAAGATTTGGTAAATCTTAGAAAAGATCACAAGGCTATCTTTGGTCGCTCGGGCACCGAGGGCTACAATTTAAAGTGATATTGATAGCATTGGTATGAGAGGTGGAAATATATGCTTTTTTATTTTAATTTTTAAATATTTATCATATCCAAAAAAGGTGAATTAGTGATTATTTCCTTTATCAGGTTTTATTATCCCTCTTCTCTCTTCTTGAAAGGAAATTGTTATGTGATAATACTACGGTGAAAATATTCTAAAAATAACTATGGTCTCTTTATGTATCAACTCTAAGGATTAAACATGAGGTATATTAATAGCATGTCTTCAATTTAAAGCTTGTCTACTCTTTAAAGTAATTAACGCGAAGCAACACACTAAGTCGCATCATCATCATTCTTTTTTATGTTTTTCTTTAGTGTTTTCAATAGCGATATAGACTTGTGTTGAATAAAAATCTTTGTTTAATAACAACAATTAACAAATAATAAATTATACTAATGCAAAGTATTTTGTGTTTATCGCTATCTTTTATTTAAAGTATTTAACACTGAAATTGTGAAGATTAGATTCTTTTGATAGCTGCTTGAATCAAGCAATATTTTGAATTAATATTTTATTTTTGAATAATAATGAAATATCAATTATCCGATAAATTTATTTAATTAATAGATTTTCAGTTTTATCAATATTTCAAAATATCATATAATTTCAAAATCTCATTATATGGAAGAAAATTTATAGAAAATATTTAGTGTAAATCAGTGTAAAGTTATTCAAATATATTGTAATATAATTTGTAAGATATTAGTATATTCATTTTGTATTCATATGATCAATTCTTTGGATAACTGATATTTTACTGTATTACAATTATATTGAGCATATTATTATTAGATGATAGAACGTTATTCTGCAAAATAATGTTATTTACATAATATTTGTTCATTCAAGTTATATTTGTTATTTGTTTCTTTTTAAAAGTCAATGAAACAGTCGTTGCATGTACATTTATAGATACTATATAATGTTTCTTTTGCATGAACACCAATGGTTATGTTCTTCTCAACTTTTCGTCTCAACAGATGAATCTCCACGCGTAAGCAAAGGTATATACACTACTCTACACTATTCTATCTCACTTATCTCACTTTCTTTTCAACTTTGGACCTTTTATCTTTATATAATAATTTATATTGAGAAAAGATATTTTAAATCATTTATATTTTTACTACTTAACTATTGCGCAAAAGGTCCATTGTCTGAGAAATGCATGTAAACTAATTTCGCTTTTTATTTTTAATGTGTATTTTACAAAATTTTTCCGCGACATTATTTTATATACCATGATATTTACATATTTTATTTATGTTTTCATGAAATTTTTTGTAATCGAATTTATTGTTCTAACAAGAATAATATTCTCTTCCTCTTTGGTTCATTCTATACATATATTTATACACATTTCTTAATTACAGGAAATCATTATAAAAATACTTTAATTTGCTTTGAAGCATAGTAAGTGAAAAAGATCATAGTCATAAAAATTTGCAAATTACTTTGCACAACAAATAAAATTCATTTTTTTCTGCAAATCCTCGGCAGAAGCTTATGCATTGAAGCTTTGTGATTAAAAGAATATGTTTGATTGCATACAAGAATTTGTGAAAAGATATTTAATGGATGTTATTCAATGAAAATTGTTCTCTTAAATTTCTTCTAATAAACATATTATTAAATATCTTTTTTCAAATTTTCTATACAAGCTAGATTTCGTATACAATTGATTCGTACAGCGAATATAGCGCGTGCATCATGTTTTCTTATTTTATTTTCATGTCACTATATTTTGTATTGCTGTTGTTACTGCATTACTTGTTTGCTAATTATTTTGTTTTCTTTTTCGTCACCTCCCCCGCATCCAAATTTGAGCAGAAGGTGAAGCGCCCACTCAAGGTAATACTTTATAGTCATATATGTCTCTTTTTCCTTCTGCTTGCCGTCGATCCATTTATAATCACGCTTTTAAAGCAACATTCTAAGATGTTATTAGTTTCGTTAAAGCACGAACCATCTGGGATTGGATTGCTACACGTTAATCTTATGGAATTTAAGGAAATGGCATATGCCTTACCTTGCTTTTCAGTACGTATACAGAATGCATTTTTCTTATAATGTTAAAAAAAAAAGTTGCAAAAAAGAACAGAATATATCTAACACGACAATCTTCTTCGATAGATATTGTTTTCCCTCTTCTTTCTTAATTATTAATTAAATGGGTGTTTTTTTTTCTTCTCTTAGGATGTCCCTTTTTTTTCTTCTTTTTAAATTACTGAAATATATCAAAACATTTCATCATTTGATTGTTTAATATCAGTCACAATAATTAATGAGTTGCATTTTATATATACATGTTAATAATTGTATTTTTCCAATCGCTTTGTTATTATAATCGCCACGGTCATGTTATGAGTTTCACCACTCTTGTTATTGTCGTTCCACGAACATTTAATTACTTAATATTAATATTGTTCGTTAATTAAAACTACATTGGATAATTAATTACATTGCTGCGACTTATATGTATTATTACTTATCGCGTTCCCGACTAATTTGGTGTGGGGCTTGTAAAAAACAAAGAAATGGCAGGATGTAATCACTTATGGATATATTTTTTAATGCTCTCTTAATTCAATTGCATCGTGCTATTTTTGGTATATCAACCACGCCTCTTATTCAAAGAGTTTAAGTTTTATATATAAATTTTGAAGTTAATCTCTAAAATTATGTTTAAGCTCGAAAACTGTACTCCATATGATATTATGGATCATTAATAATTAATTAAAAAAGATGTTTATATATCATATTGGATTCGTGAATTTATAAAGTGTTCATATGCTATAAATAATGGATATATTTGATGTGTTTCAGTAATATAGAGAAAATTAATTTCTTTTTCTTGATAGATCATCGTCCGCATGGCCGAAATACTGAACTTCCGGTGATACCACGCAGCGAGAGCACTTCTGAATTTCAACCATTGGAGGATAAAGAAGTCGAATATTTCTTTGCTTCCGATGCCAGTGCTGTGATCGAACATACAAATCGTGTTATATTTCTGGAAGTAAATAAATCTTTTTTTTTTCATTAATTAATATAAATATTTTCGTTTCAATAAGTAAATTAAAGATCAATAAAAAATTATTAAATCATAATAATTTTACTCAATATCAGGATGATGACGTAGCTGCGGTGAAAGAAGGTGCTCTTAGCATTCATCGACTCCGTCGATGCATGGATGATCCTCATGCGAGAGAAATTACCACATTGAAGATGGAAATTCAACAGATCATGAAGGGTAATTATCAATATTTCATGCAGAAGGAAATCTTCGAGCAACCTGAATCAGTGGTAAACACTATGAGAGGACGTTTGAATTTCCAGGATAATTCTGTCACGTTGGGAGGTATTAAAGTAAGTTTATGACAATTTGATCTTTCTTCAATTTTTTTTTAATACAAATTAATCTAATTTGATTTACTGTTAGGATTACATTCCTGAAATCAAAAGATGTAGACGATTGATGCTTATTGGCTGTGGAACAAGCTATCATTCTGCTATTGCTACTAGACAACTTTTGGAAGAATTAACTGAATTGCCAGTTATGGTTGAATTAGCTTCCGATTTTCTAGACAGAAACACGCCAGTATTTAGAGATGATGTTTGTTTCTTCATCTCACAATCAGGTAATGAATATTATAATTCATTTATTTATTAATGAAATATGTGAAATGATATAATTTATTTTTATTATTTATAGGTGAAACGGCAGATACGCTAATGGCTTTGCGATATTGCAAAGGACGTGGAGCTTTAATAGTTGGTATTACCAATACTGTAGGCAGTAGTATTTGTCGTGAATCACATTGCGGTGTTCATATAAATGCTGGTCCTGAGATTGGTGTTGCCAGCACCAAAGCTTATACCTCTCAATTTATTTCTCTTGTAATGTTTGCTTTGGTTATGAGTGAGGACAGAATTTCTCTTGGTAACAGACGTCAACAGGTATTATTAATTTCTTAATTAATTATTTTTATGAATTTTAAATAATATAATACGTCACAATATTCTTGCATTTAATAGATTATCGAAGGATTGAAGAATTTGGATAATCTTATTCGTAAAGTTCTGAAACTTGATAGTAAAGTCAAAGAATTAGCAAAATCTTTATTCCAACATAAATCCTTGCTGATTATGGGTAGAGGATATAATTTTGCGACATGCATGGAGGGTGCTCTGGTACGTTTAAATTTAAAACATGATATTTTTAAATTATTATTATGAATGTATTTATATTATAATTTTTTTTTTTTATTTACAGAAAGTTAAGGAATTGACGTATATGCATAGTGAAGGTATCATGGCAGGCGAATTGAAGCATGGTCCTTTAGCACTTGTAGATGATTCGATGCCAGTAATAATGATCGTTATGAGAGATCCAGTTTATATAGTAAGTAGAATTTTTGGTAAATTAATTTTACTTGTGATTAATATGTTGTAATAACTATCTCATAATTTTTTTTAGAAATGCATGAATGCTCTACAACAAGTTACAGCACGAGATGGTAAACCAATTGTCATCTGCGAAGAAGGAGATAGTGAAACGAAAATGTTTGCAGACAAAGTTCTTGAAGTACCTAAGACAGTGGATTGTCTTCAAGGAATTCTTACTGTTATTCCAATGCAACTTTTATCTTTCCATATCGCAGTTCTTCGTGGATGTAATGTTGATTGTCCAAGAAATTTAGCAAAATCGGTCACAGTTGAATAAAACTTTCTTTAAGAACATCAGGGACTTATTTCAAATATTGTTATTGTTAAATTTTGAATTTGAATTACAAAAGATAACAATACAGCAAGAACAATTTTTGAAATAACATGAAATTGTTATCGATTACATTTTGATATGTTTCTAAGTACTTAATAATTATTATATATCGTATTAAAGTACGAATGAGATAAATTGTATTTATTTCTTGTATTCGTGAGCCTGTTAGAAAATATTTACGATTAGCTATTAGTCTTTATATTAATCTTATATTAAAAGACGAATATTTTTTGGTAAAATCAATGAAGACGTTCCTTACACGGAATTAAATTAATTGACTTTCCAGAAAATGATTCCAGTGCATTTAATAGTTGTATATATTTATATCAATTAATAAGAAACAAAAAAAGAGAAGAAAAAAATATAACGCTTTTCAGATTATGGATAAAATGTAATTCTATTCTTTTCTTATAATCAAGTTGAATAAGACTGCAGTAGAAAAAGAAAAATTATATCGTGAATGTATCGTTATGCTACGATGTTCACATACGATGGCTATTCTGAAAAGTGTTCATATGTGCGTATGCGGATGTGTGCATTTCATAAATTTCAATCAAGATGGAAAAAGCAAACCATAATGGATATAGAAAATTAGATGATTGAAAGAATAATAATTTACGTATATGATAATCGTATTTTTTATATAGTAAAATATGACGTTTATCATATGCTTTGAAAAATTTCTATTTTGTACAGTATTTAAGACAGGAACAAATATGAAATTTTTTTATTAATAATAAATACTTTGCCTTCGATTTTGCTACAAAAAATATATGAAAACAACTTATAAATAAATTTTGTTATTGATGTAGTATATCATGTTTAAATTAAATGTTTAAATTTAAAACGTTGTAAACTTTATGGATTTTATCTATGATATATGTAGTAAAATTTTCTTGTTCTATCTCATAGCTGTAAAAAATTTCCAGTTTCTTGTTTGTTGACAAAATATAATAGAAAAATAAATGTAATTTTTATATTGATTAATTAAGGTGTTGGAAAAATAATATAATCATCTATAATTTACTTATAAAGTCATAATATCTTCTGATATATTAAGCAATGAATAAACTTTTAGAAGATACAAATATAAATATATATATATAT